AGTACACTCAAGGTACTCACCGTAGCCCTGCGGGTCTTCACTCTATCCTTGCGGCGCCACTGTACGCCAGGAGAGTATCCCAGTCAATCCCAACCAGCCCCTGATCGAGAAGGAGTGGGAACACAACTTGTTCACTTAACTGTTGTATGCCCGCCCCATCATAGGGCTCTACTACTAACCACAAGGTCGCCAACTGGTGTTTTCGGTGTCCAGTAACACGTCAGTGGTTTTTGTTGAATTGTGGTAACAGTGGCAAGGTCACACTCAATAGATCTGATATCAGGCAGGTATTCACTTCTATCACTCTCTGTTTTCAGGTATTACATAGCCACAAGAAATATGGAGGGGATGATATAAACACCAATGTATTTTGTATTTTACTTAAAACTCATTCAAAGACATCACAAGATTATATCAATAAGCAAACAGCTGTTTCAGGCGGGAGTCGCTGGTTCCCACACATATAATATGAACCCACCAAGCCGGCAACACTCCCCCTCTCGTCAATGTCAAAATCAGCTGGGCGACTACCCCTGCGCGAATGTCACTTTATCTGTCTGCTTGTTTTCCTGGCGTCACGCGCTCTGTTTCTTTAAGTTCTCAAAGATCACTAGAAGATCGAACACACAATATTTGCGTCAACAGCACGTGAACACTTAGCTACACTGATCTTGTGCTCAATCAAACATTTCTATATTAAAGGTGACAATAATTCACTGTCATGGTATTACACACCGCCCTTCATTTAATGACAACGTATGCAAGTATATATCACTGGAGTTCTTAGTAATTCCTTTCGTGGGTGATAACACAATTAATCACTGCACACATGAATGATTTTCAATACACGAGCATAGACATATATATATATATATGGATGAGTCAGACATCAATAATGGTAATGACATAGTTATTGGGCACATAGCCAAACTCCAAACACTGACATAATTATATATATATATTCTCTCACTATATGATGATATTAAAATCTCATGAAAGACATTCTCCACACAGTAAATTCATCAATTACTCCGGGTGCCTGCATACACCAATAATGATCATAAATATCGTGAGTACTCTTTATAGTTCCACTCTGCACACTGGTGCCTTACTGTGACATAGGTGAGCCTTGCTCACGACATACAAAATACTCAGGCTAAATAATATAGCTGACTAAAGGGGAATTGGGAGGGAAACTAGATTCACCTACTTCCACCTATCCTCCGATGAGAGTTGAGTTGTAGCTCCTGGTCCTGGCTCCAGCCTCGTGTAGGGAACGCCCCCACACACACACTGTCGTGTCCTCCAGGAACTCAATCAACGTCCCACCGTAAGCGCGTCGTCTCCGTGCCTTTTCACTGCAGGTCCGTGCTCCTTCTCGACTTCTTGTAGGGTTGGAGTCGGTCTCCCGGCCGTCGCCTTCTCCTCCCAGCTACGGCTGCCCGCCTACGTCTCGGCTGCAGTCGTTCGGATTCCCGAATAGTTTTCTTCTTCCACTGCTTCCCAGTGGCTCGGTTCAGCCACTACGCCATCACAAACGGGTGAACTGCCTCAGACGTCGCATACGCCACTGCACAGACTTCACTTCTTGCACAGTACCTGTCCTGGAGCACTTGTTGCTCAATATCCCGTCGATTCCCTCTCTGGTCCAACACATGAACGAAGGAAGACCTCACAGAGTACTGGCAGCCTTTGGGTGACGCGTAAAATCCACGGGAGCGGGAAACAACTGTCAAACTGACAGGACCAATCTTCGCACGTCCAACCACCTTGACGTGTCGTGTCATACTGATTCCCTCACGGAGGATTGGCTCAGCAACTACGTCATCACTGTGGAGCTATCAGCCGTCGCATATGTCGCTGCCTAGACTCCACTCTTGCACAACACCTGTTCCTGGAGCACTTGTTGCCCAATATCCCGTCAATTCCTTCTTCGGTTCAACACATGAACGAAGGAAGACCCCACAGGTGTTGGCAGACCATGGGTGATGCGTAAGTCCTCCGGTGACGGGGTAAACTGTCCAACTGACAGGACCCCCCAGCGCACGTCCGACCTCCTTGACGTGCTGTCTTAGACTGATGGCGCCGCCGTGGCGCTCTGTCAGGACCCCCTTTCCTTCGTGACGTCATATTCGCCACGGGAGGTTTTCATTGGCTCCCTGTGCCACGTCGCTGTCGGTGACCAATCTGGTGTCACTGACGTCACACAGTTTTGGCGGCAAAACAGGAGAGCCAGCGCCATATTGGCTTCCTAAAGGGCCTAAACCACAGCCCAAAATACTCTTCTTTGATAAATTTCTCGGCACTCCGAGAACACTACATCCTCCCACATATATCAAACTGATGCCTGCGACGTAGAGAACGCTCGGGTAAAGTGGACATGACTCTTACAGCAGGCGTGGGAGAAATATAAGGGGGGGGAACACCGTCACAGTATGTATGGGCAAGTTGGTTTGGGTAGATAAGTTACATTAGGGTAGGCTAGTATTGGTAAGTTAAGTTAGGTAAGGTTATGCAGAGATAGTCAGAGAACAGTTTTGAGGTAAAGTGACTAAGAAAATATATTTTAAAAGAATAACTATTGACAGAAGTGTAAGCTTGATATGAAAAGTTGAACTAGTTACATAAAATGAGTGGTGTTTTGTGACATTTTAAATGCTATTGACGAGTTTAACTGTAAATGTCTTAGTAAAACTGTCTTAGTGAAAGCTGTTACAGCATTAAAGATATCTATTTTACTTATTTATTCAATGAAGAACAACGTTTGTTACATTTGGTTGTGTTATTTAATGCCTTAGAACAACTTTGATGAACGTAGGAAAGTTAGAGAACAACTTTGATGCTCAAAGATGTCTTAGAAAGATTCTTTGGTGAACGAAGATGTCTTAGAAAGTTTCTTTAATGAACGAAGTTGAGTTAGAGATTCCTTTTGATGCCTCTGAGATTAACTTTTGATGTCTGAGAATAACTTGTGAGGTTTCTGAGAACTTTGACTTTTTTTTTTTTTACTTGATGAAGAATACTGTTAGTTACGAAAGTGCTGAAAGTGGTATGTTTAGAGGAGCCTCAGTGTGCAGCGTCCATATTGACTGTTAGGCATGGCTTGTGTGTTATTTCTTAGAGTTATAATTGATGTGAGCACTTAATTGGCAATGTAGTTTGTCAAGGTTTTCACCCTCCATATAACTGATGGTCAATGGTAGTGCTTTTAAACAAATAATATATACTGGTGTCATTTAGTTTATGTATGGGTTTAAACAGAAAATTGCATACCAATGTTATATCACAGAAAACGAATTCATCGAAAACTCATGTATTCCTTTTGATAATGCATACAAGAAAACATAAAAGATAACAATATATGAATCTTCAAATTTATACAAATACCATTTGATGTTGGAACCTGTGGAAATGAACAAGCAGAAGTGCTGGCTGCTGAAGGCACTGAAGGAGACCACATTGAATACTTCATACCCAGGACTCCTCTACATATTAGAGGTATCATCAGGCAATATCACCTAGACAAGGTTACTGAGGAAAGGAGGATAGAAGAACAAATCAGTGAATCTATACGGTGGTACAATGTGGTTGCAGCTGGCAATCCCAATCATTATGGACGAAGAGGAGGTGGCCGCGGCAGAGAATTGGTAATAGCAAGAATTCGTCTTGGATACAAATATCCATGGAGATTCGGAATGGAAACAATTAACAGTTGAGCAGAGGAGTTGCAAAACTTGTGGTGAGAGTGACGGACACCGCCTTGACCACTACCTGAGAGAACATGTGTGAACATCTAAGAGTCATTAGAAATGTGTAGAATAATAAACCCTACATTGTTTGGGTTGGGAAAACACTTTGTCAAATATAGATACTGTTCTTAAAGAATCTCCCATTTTTCACCCTCAAGATAACATAAGATTTTAAGGGTTGACGAAAGTTAATCTTCTTGTTTGATAGGCTGTTCACTTGAAACAGTTAATAAGCAAATCCCAGCTGTGTCTGATGGGTACAAGGGACAAAATGTGCAACCCATCGGGTTTTATTCCTGTTGGGGAATGTTGTACATGCTGTGGTGGCTGTATGTCCACTCACAGGATGAGTGGCACTGCTCAATGAACTCGCTCCTCGGAAAATTTTAAACAAATTTAAATATGATCTTCATTAATATATATAAAACATCTAAAAGTTTTAAGAATGTTTCACACATCAGTCAAGCAACATTTACAATTTATATTATTTATTTTAGGGAATAATACATAAATTTTATATTTAAACATGATATTAGTGTTTATTGGGATACATAAGGAGTCATTGTGTTAAAAGAACAATTTTTTTGCAAAATTATGAAAACAAATTTTATCTGACCATAAAATAACTAAATGTATTTTGAATGTTGCATATAACCATTAAATATCATTCACAGTTTATTAATGATTTGTAAAAAAAAGACCATAAATTTCATATTTAAATATGTAAAAACTATTTGCAATATATTTGGAATAAGATAGTTTTAGAAATACCGTATATTATAAAACTTATATGTTTGGATTGAAAGTTGCTCAAATGCTCTCCTGCGTCATTTTCAATACAAGTTATTGACACAACTATTTGGAAACGTAAATTAATGTTTCTAAAACGTTTTCAGCTTGCTGGGTTATGCTTGGCGATTTTTAGTTGAGTGAAGAATAATTTAGAACAGTGTTGAAATAAGTTACACCTGACTAATAATAATTATTTAGTTTAATAAGAATGCAGCGGGACGCTAAGCCTGGAAATTATCTCAGGATAACCTCAAGACAGAAATATTTAAGTTTGGATTTTAGATTTATTTTTCCTAACTCCATGAAATTAGTACAAAAAGTGGCTTACTGGGGCTCCATTTCAACATGTTGGTAATTTCCACCAATGAGTTGGAGAAACTACCATCATCTGAAAATGGGTTGTGGAGCGAGGTGGTTTTGTCTGGAGTGACGGTGAGGGATAGCAGGGGGATGGCGAGGTTAGAGATGGAGGTCGTAGCAAAGATAGGAGATGGCGAGGTGGTAGGTGGAGGTCGTAGCGAGGATAGGAGATGGCAAGGTGGGAGGAGGAGGTCGTAGCGAGGATAGGAGATGGCGAGGTGGTAGGTGGAGGTCGTAGCGAGGATAGGAGACGGCAAGTTGGAAGGAGGAGGTCGTAGCGAGGATAGGAGATGGGGAGGTGGTCGTAGCGAGGATAGGAGATGGGGAGGTGGTCGTAGCGAGGATAGGGGATGGCGAGGTGGGAGGAGGTCGTAGCGAGGATAGGAGATGGCAAGGTGGGAGGAGGTCGTAGCGAGGATAGGAGATGGCGAGGTGGTAGGTCGTGGCGACGTGAGGAGGAGGAGGTTGCAACGAGGATGGGAGATGGCGAGGTGGTAGGAGGTCGTAGCGAGGATAGGAGATGGCAAGGTGGGAGGAGGTCGTAGCGAGGATAGAAGATGGCAAGGTGGGAGGAGGTCGTAGCGAGGATAGGAGATGACGAGGTGGTAGGTGGAGGTCGTAGCGAGGATAGAAGACGACAAGTTGGGAGGAGGAGGAGGTCGTAGCGAGGATTGGAGATGGCGAGGTGGTAGGTCGTGGCGACGTGAAGAGGAGGTCGCAGCGAGGATGGGAGGAGGAGGTTGTAGCGATGATAGGAGATCGCGAGGTGGTAGGTGGTTGTAGCGAGGATAGGGGATGGCGAGGTGGTAGGTGGTCGTAGCGAGGATAGGGGATGGCGAGGTGGTAGGTGGTCGTAGTGAGGAGAGGTGATGGCGAGGTAACAGAACTGAGCGTGACGGCCATCTTGCAATACATGTTGCCACGCCAGAGTGGCGTACACAAGCCACAAGTCATCCCCAGGCACCAGGGAAATATCTTGTGCAAGGAACAGCTATGAGATGGTCCCCTCCTCTCCCTCTGGCTCTCATACACTGTATTAAATACATTCTGACTTCATTATTGTATCCTGCCCGAAATGCACTAATTTTGCCCTCCAGCATTGTATTTTGCCCACAATGCATGCATCTTTCACACAATGCTTATTCTTTCCCAATTCTGTCTTATTACTTTAAACAAAAAATCGTATTTCAAACTGGCGTCTCTCGGACGGATTGCTTCCGCTTGCTCAATGTTTCTTTTGGACCGCAATGTTTCCACATTCTCAGAGTGCTGATCCCTTTTACCCGCAGTGATGCTTCCCCGTGTTAAAATATTGCCTCTTGCCCACAGTGCTCCATCTTACCCACAACCCTTTATCTCGCCCACAATGCTTCATCTTGCCCACAATGCTTCATCTTGCCCACAATGGTTCATCTTGCCCACAATGGTTCATCTTGCCCACAATGCTTCATCTTGTCCACAATGCTTCATCTTGACCACAATGCTTCATCTTGACCACAATGCTTCATCTTGCCCACAATGGTTCATCTTGACCACAATGGTTCATCTTGTCCACAATGGTTCATCTTGCCCACAATGGTTCATCTTGTCCACAATGCTTCATCTTGACCACAATGCTTCATCTTGTCCACAATGCTTCATCTTGACCACAATGCTTCATCTTGACCACAATGCTTCATCTTGACCACAATGCTTCATCTTGACCACAATGCTTCATCTTGACCACAATGCTTCATCTTGCCCACAATGCTTCATCTTGTCCACAATGCTTCATCTTGCCCACAATGCTTCATCTTGTCCACAATGCTTCATCTTGTCCACAATGCTTCATCTTGTCCACAATGCTTCATCTTGCCCACAATGCTTCATCTTGTCCACAATGCTTCATTTTGACCACAATGCTTCATCTTGCCCACAATGCTTCATCTTGTCCACAATGCTTCATCTTGTCCACAATGCTTCATCTTGACCACAATGCTTCATCTTGTCCACAATGCTTCATTTTGACCACAATGCTTCATCTTGACCACAATGCTTCATCTTGTCCACAATGCTTCATTTTGACCACAATGCTTCATCTTGACCACAATGCTTCATCTTGACCACAATGCTTCATCTTGACCACAATGCTTCATCTTGTCCACAATGCTTCATCTTGTCCACAATGCTTCATCTTGTCCACAATGCTTCATCTTGACCACAATGCTTCATCTTGACCACAATGCTTCATTTTGACCACAATGCTTCATCTTGACCACAATGCTTCATCTTGACCACAATGCTTCATCTTGACCACAATGCTTCATCTTGTCCACAATGCTTCATCTTGTCCACAATGCTTCATCTTGCCCACAATGCTTCATCTTGACCACAATGCTTCATCTTGCCCACAATGCTTCATCTTGTCCACAATGCTTCATCTTGCCCACAATGCTTCATCTTGTCCACAATGCTTCATCTTGCTAACAATGGTGCCTCTCGCTGCTGGTGCTGCTCATTGCTTCACAATGGTGCCTCTCACTGCTGGTGCTGCTCGTTGCTTCACAATGGTGCCTCTCACTGCTGGTGCTGCTCGTTGCTTCACAATGGTGCCTCTCACTGCTGGTGCTGCTCGTTGCTTCACAATGGTGCCTCTCACTGCCTCACAATAGCCGACAATGACAGATTCTGTGATAATCACCGGCAATTATCAGGGACGGCTGAGGGAACAGTGCCACTCTGCATCACAATTATCTCGCCAAAAGTTACAAGCTCGCTCGCTCTCTTTATTTCTCTGAGCGCACTTTACACAGGCTCTATAGAGGTAGCAATGTATCATCAATTACCACATTACACAGGCTCTATAGTGGCAGCAATGTATCATCAATTACCACTTTACACAGGCTCTATAGTGGTAGCAATATATCATCAATTACCACTTTACACAGGCTCTATAGTGGTAGCAATATATCATCAATTACCACTTTACACAGGCTCTATAGTGGTAGCAATATATCATCAATTACCACTTTACACAGGCTCTATAGTGGTAGCAATATATCATCAATTACCACTTTACACAGGCTCTATAGTGGTAGCAATATATCACAATTACCACTTTACACAGGCTCTATAGTGGTAGCAATATATCACAATTACCACTTTACACAGGCTCTATAGAGGCAGTAATATATCATCAATTACCACTTTACACAGGCTCTATAAAGCGAGTAATGACTGCTCAACCAGGACTTTACACAGGACATATATAGAGAGCAGTGTCTGCCCTTTCACCACGTTAAACAAGCTGTATGAAGGGTTCAGTATCTGTTCAATCACTATAATACTTCTGGATCGTGTTCTGCTGAACATTCCAGGACTTCAACCCCTCTTACAGGCTAGTGACACTTGCCTGTAAGTGTCACTACAGGCAGGTGTCACTTAAGTGTCACTTATATTCAACCATACAATAAAATTCTTAATTTATTAAATATAATGCAGATTTGTGAAGAAGGCAATAATTCAAATGATATGAAAATTGTCTAACATGGGAGGGAGCAAGTGTAACGTGTTCACTGTGGGAGGGGACTGTGAGGGGCTCACTGTGGGAGGGGACTGTGAGGTGCTCACTGTGGGAGGGCACTGTGAGGTGCTCACTGTGGGAGGGGACTGTGAGGTGCTCACTGTGGGAGGGCACTGTGAGGTGCTCACTGTGGGAGGGGGACTGTGAGGTGCTCACTGTGGGAGGGCACTGTGAGGCGCTCACTGTGGGAGGGGACTGTGAGGCGCTCACTGTGGGAGGGGGACTGTGAGGTGCTCACTGTGGGAGGGGACTGTGACGTGCTCACTGTGGGAGGGGACTGTGAGGTGCTCACTGTGGGAGGGGACTGTGAGGGGCTCACTGTGGGAGGGGGACTGTGAGGTGCTCACTGTGGGAGGGGGACTGTGAGGTGCTCACTGTGAGGGGCTCACTGTGGGAGGGGACTGTGAGGTGCTCACTGTGGGAGGGGACTGTGAGGTGCTCACTGTGAGGTGCTGACTGTGGGAGGGGACTGTGAGGTGCTCACTGTGGGAGGGGACTGTGAGGTGCTCACTGTGGGAGGGGACTGTGAGGGGCTCACTGTGGGAGGGGGACTGTGAGGTGCTCACTGTGAGGTGCTCACTGTGGGAGGGGACTGTGAGGGGCTCACTGTGGGAGGGGACTGTGAGGGTCTCACTGTGGGAGGGGACTGTGAGGGGCTCACTGTGGGAGGGGACTGTGAGGTGCTCACTGTGGGAGGTGCTCACTGTGGGGGGGGGACTGTGAGGTGCTCACTGTGGGAGGGGACTGTGAGGGGCTCACTGTGGGAGGGGGACTGTGAGGTGCTCACTGTGGGAGGGGACTGTGAGGGGCTCACTGTGGGAGGGGACTGTGAGGTGCTCACTGTGGGAGGGGACTGTGAGGGTGCTCACTGTGGGAGGGGACTGTGAGGGGCTCACTGTGGGAGGGGACTGTGAGGGGCTCACTGTGGGAGGGGACTGTGAGGGGCTCACTGTGGGAGGGGACTGTGAGGTGCTCACTGTGGGAGGGGACTGTGAGGGGCTCACCGTGGGAGGGGACTGTGAGGGGCTCACTGTGGGAGGGGACTGTGAGGGGCTCACTGTGGGAGGGGACTGTGAGGGGCTCACTGTGGGAGGGGACTGTGAGGTGCTCACTGTGGGAGGGGACTGTGAGGGGCTCACCGTGGGAGGGGACTGTGAGGGGCTCACCGTGGGAGGGGACTGTGAGGGGCTCACCGTGGGAGGGTCTTACAACACTGGAAGAGCAACATCAACCTGCAAGACTATCATGGGAGTAGACAAAGTGATAAAGAAACATTGTTCAAAGTGAAGAACAGAAGACAGAAGGAACAATATTGAACAGTCCCGTCAACAGGAGTCAGAGCGGTGCCTATAAGACCTACTTTACTTTAAGAGTCGTAAATAAATATATTGGTGTGTGTGTACCAAATTAGTTCAGCCAGTAGCCAGGGACTGGGAAGACGCACTGTGGAGGTCTGCCTACAGGGACCGGAAGGTAAGGGGCCTGTAGTGTTTTTTATGAAACTATAGTGGACATGGCAGGACTAAGACATTCCCAGAGGCCGGAGGGTGTCAGCCTGAAGAGCGGCTGGTGTTTGATGTGTTACCAAGGAAAAGGGTAACTCGTATGTCGAGGGTGGATGAGAGGAACCAACCCTTGGTGCTAATTTTTAAGTTTTACAAAAAGGGGGCCGAGCTTTGTAACCCCGGCCCCTAGTGGGGGTGCCTGAATCCCGTGAGAAAGAGTGAGGGACAACTAGTCCTTCACTCAGTACTAGGCGGGGGCCCGGAGCTAAGTACCAGGGCGTGTGGTTGGAAGACATTCCTGTATTCCCCTAGTTGTGCGTGCGGGGGTTGAGCTTTGGTTCTTTGGTCCCGCCTCTCAACTGTCAATCAACTGGTGAGGTAGACCGAGTGACAATTTGAGTATTTATGGCAAGTTGTTCTATTTTTATGTGGATTGTTTCAAGAATTTGCAATCTTCTTACACCTTGAGTTTTATCTATGAAGCAATCCTCATAAAAATAGAATCTACCAAAATACTCATATTACGGAACTATTCACTCTACTCACCATGAGAGTAAGAACAAGACCAAAACGTGAAGATGCCAACATAGAAGACACTGCTCCACAAACAGCGCCCACTACACCTGATTAATCTTTGAATGTGTTTTGTACCCTATTTAGCCTTATTCTACTCTTTTCTCCTTTATGCCTTACTCATTACCCTTATGTATGCCCATTGTTTTCACCTGACCCTCATTGTTCGATCCATTTGTATTCACCTGACCCACTATAAGTATAAATATAATGTCCTGTACTGTAATTAGTTCTTTTCTTTTAAAGTTCTTTTTTGCGGGCTC